CTTTAAGATGTTATTTCTCAAGTAAAAAACAGCCAACTGTCACTTACATGTCACAAATCAAGCAGATTTTCAATATATTTTAGAAACATATGCTTGCAAGAGAAGGCAGGCATCCTTTAACCAGATCTGTTGTCTCCAAATATAAAAATGCTGGCCTGGCCTCCCAGGGTTGTGTTAGGGTAGAGTTAACATTATGGGATACCTGGAGTAGACTATTTTGAAAAATATGCAGATTTGCAACTTTTTGGGGAATAGATTTTTTATCAAACCCTGTATGCACCCCACCCCTTATATCTTCACTCTTTAGCTAGCAGTCAAACCTGTATAGGTATACTATGTTTACAGGGTGTCAAATAAATGTTCTCCCCTCCTTAGCTTTAACATCCACATAATATTAGATAACTTTTTTCTTTACATGATATCTGAATTGTTCTTTAGCACATCATAACAGGGCTACTAAGAGCAACTCCACAAGAAGTTTCAGATAACTAGCTCAACTAGATGCACTTTATGCACAAAAGTTCATTCTCTTGAAATTAAAGGGGAGAACATATTTATTTGACGCCCTGTAGTATATATCAAAGTTAAGAGAATAGAAATAAGAGGTGTTCATACATATTTTACTGAACCTGATATGGTTCTGATTACTCGAGGAGAAACATGTTTTGCTTCATCGTGTCCCTTTGTTTATCCGAATTGAAAGCAATCCCATGATTCAGTTCTTTGATAAATGATTTATAAGCAGAATGGGAATAACTCTATTAATGATTCACAAAAATAACACTGTCCAGAATATTAACTGAATTATTCTCTGTGTTATCAATCAATTTGATAATCAAATTTGAATAAGGGGTATATATACATGTATTTATAATATGCTTGAGTTCGGTTTTTGGTTATGTTTTGCATATTTTAAAGGTTTAGCGTACATGTACATTGAACACTTTTTCGCCAAGAAAGAATAGTCAATTTTGGTAGGTGTTTACTACAGAGAGGGCAATTTATACAGATGTCAGTAGAGTATGTGCAGAGGAAGGGTGTTAACTTGGGAGAGGTGTTCACTATAGAGAGGGCAATTTATACAGATATCAGTAGAGTATATGCAGAGGAAGGGTGTTTACTTGGGAGAGGTGTTTACTGTAACTGAGGTTTTACTGTGCTTTATTTGAATAAAATATAATCCGTGGGTCAGAAAACAACCATCAGTAAAAATTCTGCCTTTCATTTCATTTCTTTCAACCCATTTCAGCTACTTTTTGAATCAATAAACATCTATTCAGCATTAAAACTGCAAAGTTATCTTCCTAGATAACTCTGGTTAACAGTATGAATCCCATCGTGAGATATCACAGCCTTCTCTCAGTTTCCTTCTAGAATGCCGTGAGTTACTTGGCAATAGCCTTCGATCTGATGGGGGCGTGGCCCGTCCAGATTTCAGCAAAAGTGATATGACGAATCAAATCCGTATTTACAGGTCACGTGACAGTGAGTGGCGGGGGTAAGAACTCAACCAATCAGATCGCTCAGTTTCAAAACAATTGCGTTAAATTACACAACACATTTATATTGTATAGGTGGTCTTGTGGTAGAATTCTCGCTAAGCACACTGTAGGCCCGAGGTCGAATCCCGCCTTCGCCTTTTTATTTTTTTTAACTAAATGATTGTTCTTTGATATTACGCAGAGAAAAAACAATTTTCATTTACATAAACTTTATATTAGAGCTTGAAAATGTAAAAACAATATATGTCAACATATTGCGTTTTGGAGCGATGTGCACTTTGTGCAGGTTTAAAGTTTTTGATCACGTACCCTTCCCTTTTGGCATTTGCGCTATATTCAAGAGAAGTGTATACCATTGATAGAAAATAAACAGGGTGTATTCCTTAGTACTAAAACTGGAAGCGGGAAGAGTTTGTGCTACCACGATGATCCCCATTTTGATACTCAGACCATCTCTGCTATGCACAAGAAGGAAACTGAGAGAAGGCTGTGATATCTCACGATCGATGATCCCGGAAGTGTTAGAAAGATAGACCGAAAGATAATGGTAACTTGTTAAATACACGTTCAAATCGATGGAAAACGTACTAGGTATCGACTTCTTGTGTAGAAAATGAGATAAAGACGTGATGTGAGTAGATATTTACCCCTCGAGGATCACGGGTTAGAAATCTTTAAAAGTGAAAAAAATATGTAGGTCATGTCGGACGTCATTTTCGTTTCATAAATTCAACTTCAAATAAGTCGGGTTTAAACGCATGGATTGCCAAGAAACTCGAATATATATAACTTTGAAGCACCATGGTTGTAGTGAACTACAAATCATGTATAACATCGTGGGGAAAAGGTATATTTTCTTATTTTAGAAATTCATCAACTGTGATTGGTTAGAATTCTGACGTCATTAATATCATTATAAATCTAGGCCCCGCCCATTCGATCGGCAATCAGTGCAAAGTATATCAGAGCATTCTTGTGCATAGCAGAGATGGTCTGAGTATCAGAATGTATGAATCCTAGCCAGAGGGTAGTTACCCCTTCTAGCCTCTAGGCTATGTAAGATACTACTCCTCAAACTTTGGATTGACTCAGAAAAAGTAGCTTAAACTACTCCCAAGGGTACTTGAAGGAATGAATTCTACAAAGATCAATATTCAATTTCATGAAATGACTTGATATATGACAGAATGACATTATAATTGTATAATCCTGTAAACAAAGTAACATTTTTGAAATGCAAAAATGATGTAAAAAATAGTAGAATCAGCAAGAAATAAAATGATTAAGCAACAGGCACGAAGTAAATATTCTAAATAGCGATGTGAGAAAATCAGATTCTGTAATAGAAAATTTGAGTGAAATACGCATAGAATAAGAGAAATAGCAGAACTTTAGACTAATACGTCTAAAACTTGATATTGAGCAGCCAAAGGGCCAAACCATTGCTGGTTTGCTATAGATAGACTTAAATTGACACTCCTGACAAAAATAAAAGATAAAAGTGTTAGTGCAACTGTCTTAGGCTGATCTCTTGCTCTGAGCTATATTCAGAATAAACAAAGGGTAACATTTTAAAGTAAAATACAATTCATTGCGATATTGCCAAAACATCAGAGAAAGCACAAGCATAATTTAAGATTGGCATTATGTTAATTGAATAAGATTCATTACAAATTCATATGTAAATTGGATTATATTAATTAGCATATCACTGGACAAAGTCATAATCATATTATCCCTTAATAAAATAATTGTAATTTTGACATACCATATGATGTTGATGAAATGGGAGTCTAAAGTGTAGGATGTCCAAGTAGAAATTAGCTTGATAATTATGATTCTACCTTAGAATAAAAGCAATGGATGCTAGGCTGACATTAATTCCTAATTAGTTGGGAATCCATAGTGATAGAGAAGCCTAATAGAAAAACTATAGCAATTTCACTGACTCATTCCCCTGGAGACAAATAGTATCACTAGGGGGCATGTTAAAGAATTTAATATAGAGTGTCAAAGAGTGGAATCAGCAAGGAATAAACTTAACAGCAACTAAGTGAACTTTCAAAATGTAATGGAAATAGTGAGAAAGTGTGATACCATGGTCCTTATTATAAAGAGAAATGAGGTTGAATAGGCATTAATTATCAGAGAGAAAAGAAATGATTTGGAAATTTTATCCAAGGAGGAAATAATATGACCTCTTATACATCAATTAATTTTCTCATCTCACAACAAACAGAAATTGGTTGAAGTCATTTCTCTCGCTTTAATTTTCCCTTTCAAATGTTACTGAATTTTGAGATTTCCATGCTAGTTTTCTCCATTGCTCAAGTTAGTTGTAACTATGGTATCAACTAAAATAAAGTCAGAGAGAGTTGTTCTATTCAGAGAGGTGTTCACTCATACAGGCTTTATGTCACCACCACAAGTGTTGGGCATTCAGCATCTGTAACAAATGGCAGGTGGTGACATTTTGCACGTTAGTACCTTGTATCGTACTGCAATACTGAAGAATTTAGGTTTGATTTGTCTTAATGCCAGTATTTTAACACACCTGTGCATGACAGCATTTCACTAACATTCTGTATATAACCGAGGGATTGTAGTGGGAGAAACAGATGTTGTTAAAATACAAGTACATCCAAAATACTACATGAGATATGTAAAGAGCTTAAAGCTGGACTACGCTCCGAAACGCAATCTTGGGTTGTTTCGGGGGTGAACTTTATCATTTTGAGCTTAATGAAAGATTATAGAATGATGAACAAATGGGGCAAATCTTGTGTAGAAATACTTACGATAAATGTGTCATTTCAAAGATTTTTCATTGATTTGCTTCGATCGGAGCCGGCGATATGATTTTGGAAAGGTTTCTAAATGAAGAACGTGACGTCACTTCCGAATCATAGCATTCAAAATAAGTAGCGTTTAATTACCTCAACCATTCATAATAATACGGTGGTGTAGCGGTAGAATCCTCGCAGAGCACGCGGGAGGCACGGGTTCAAATCCCGCATCCGTCTTTTTATTTTTTTAACTAAATGATTGTTCTTTGATATTACGCAGAAAAAAACAATTTTTAATTACATAAACTTTATATTAGAGCTTGAAAATGTAAAAACAATATATGTCAACATATTGCGTTTTGGAGCGATGTGCAGGTTTAAAAATCTCATTAAGCCACGGTAATATTCCTCAAATATTCCTCATTGAATAACATTTTTGTTCAGTGATATCTGGCCTTAACTGTTTTTGTGTTTTTTTAATCAAATATGGTTAAATTATATCTAAGCATGGGATATGGTGAAGTCAGAATGAAATATGGATTCTGTATCCCATGACATGAAAATAAGGATGTATTTATGCTTCATGTATGGGTAAAGATTTCTCTATAATTGAAGAATCAAATATGAATGTTTTTCTATAATGAAGGTGTGTTAAAATATAAGTGAACCACTCAAAAATAAATAATTAAACAGCTAAACAATTTATTTTCAGATGGGTTCCTTCGGTCAATCAGAAAACTCCTACCTCCACTTTGAAGAATTCTCCACATAGCATCAGTGCTGTTCAGTCACCCGTTAGCCCAGGGTCTGTGTCTCAGACAGTGTTCCTCCCCCCAGTACCACCCCAACCCTCAAGGCATAGTATCATCAGCCATAATAGTACAACAGGGCGATATGAGACCGTTATCGTGGAAGATGAAATGGATTTGGTTCCAAATGGTGATTCGGGTACGTCAAGTAGGTAGTATTAGATATGCATGTTATATGCATGATATTTATAGACTAGGAAACCAAATTACATCAAAAGGAAAGATTGAAGATCATTGAACAATGATACTTTCTAGAATTACAATCATCACCCTCGCTACAATAAAACAGTACAATTGTGTTTGTTGTTTTATCTCATTAATGTCACCACCACAAGTGATGACATATTGTTATAGTCTCCAACTATTTTGTGGACAGAGACCACCAAATGGTGTTCGAAGTTCAGCATTCAGAGGTTGCTGTCTGTAACATGGTTGGTGGTTACATTTTGCATGTTATGCCTTGTCTAAATCTGTCCATTTGTGTGATATAAGGGGACTTAAAACAAAGAATTAACTTCATATTGGCCTTACTTTATCAACCAAGCGAATTCCCATATACTAAAACAAATAGAACACAGATGATAAAAAACATAAAACATAAAAGAAGCAATAAAACCTAGGAGAACAATACTTGAATGAGATTTATGATAATACTGGATTGACATGGTAACCAAATCCAAGGCCATTTTATCGTTCCTTTGTCTATAAATATATATTTATGGAATAGACTTGGCAGAATTCCATTGGAGGATTCTCTGCATCTGAAATGCAGATGCCATTATTCTGTAGATTAATCTCCGCTTTAATGTGATGTTTTAGTAAAAAAATTCACACCGTTCTTAAGAAAGGGGTCAGAATGATTCTAGATGTGATATATCTATTGGTCTCCAAAGTCTTGTTATTTTATATCATACTACATGTATGATCAGCTTGAAAAAGAATATTGTTCAATTATTTGCAAAATTGAAACATTTCAAACATGCACGTTATATATTTAAAGTAATGAATTATTTTACATATATCATATATTTATATCATTTACTATTTTCAAATCTATGCAATAGTATTAATTATTTCAGCTTCAATTTGATTTTTCCTTACAGGCATTAGCAACAATGAGAGTCCTGACAACATAAGTGCCCTAGAGCAGCCTGTTATCCAGTTCCCTCCCCCACCCCCTCAAGTGAATGGTGGACACAGAGTACAGCATCATACTGACCCCCATACACAGAGGGAACAGTTCAGGTAGGTCTATATTGGCCCTCAGTCCCCACTCCTTCAGCTCCCAGAGACCATGTCCCAACATTATCGGGCCCTACAATTTCACCCCCCTTCACCCCCTTCAGCCTCCCCCAGAGACCATATCCCAACATTATCAGGCCCCACCATTTCACCCCCTCCCTCTCAGGCCCCATTCCCTTAGTCACAATCCAATTACATTAAACCCTTCTCAGGTGAAAAATGAAGAATTTCCATAACATTTTAAAACCTATTTAGATAATTGATATGCATTTTGATTTTCTGTTTTCTGTACAATAATTCTTCAAAGGAAAGTGTGTAACATGATCATGATAAATCGTGTTTTTGAAAATCTTATTTAAGTATCCTGGGGTACATATACATATAGTTATACATTAATGATCATTCAATACACAATAGAAATGTCTATTTTCAGCTCCAGTCTGTACAACATCTTGAGTGGTCTCTATGCTGTGTTTATCATTATAATTGGAGTTGTCTTACCTATTGGGGAGATATTTGCTGAGAGAATCACTGCAAACTACTTTGAGGTAAAATATAATACCATGTACATCAGATAAAGCTTCAATGTACTCTTGAAAGATAAGTTAATTTTACCATGCTTGAGATATAAAAAAATAGTTTTTTAAACTACATATGAGAAAATGGAAAAAAATTGAAAGGCATAACTGTAATTGATTGTCTATTGTTTTCCCTTAGAAAATGTGTGTGCATAAACGAAAGTGTCAAACAAACAAATACAAATGTGTGTCAATATGTGACACATATATAAGTTTCAATTATTAATAAACCCTGAGAAAATATATGTCAAATACAAATACAATTTAACTCCCGTTAAATGTGTGTAAATAAAATTATATATTTAAATAAACCATAACAAATGATAATGCGTGTCATTCTTATTTTTATGTGCATCAACATCTTAAAACAAATACTGAATACAACTATTTATTCATGACAAAAGCACCCTATCAAATTAGTAGCTACTTTCATATACTTATGTCAATGTAACATAAACATTAAAACCTTCGCACTGTTGTCTATTAATTCATTTGACATACAAGTCATGATAACTTTTGTAATTTAATAGTAAGCTAACACAGGGCTTAATGTGCTATAACCTTGCAAGATGCCAGATTGATCTCTAAAAGTATTAAATTCCAATTTTCCTCAGCTGTCTGAGGACGAACATTGATTGTTCTAAAGTGGGGGAGAGTGTAACAGCTTTATTTTGAATATGTTATCTTAATGTTTCCTAAGCATTTTGGGGTCCTGCCAGATGTGTATATTTGTCATAGCATATTAGGGATTTATATTGTCTTTATCTTAGGATTTTGATGAAAAATGAAAAATTGAAATATTATTTCTAGTGACTTTTAATTGAGTGATTATCAATTTTTCCACAAAAATTATTAAACAAAGCATTAAGTTTTGGGTTTTAAGATTAAGACTTATTGTCAAGATAATTTTGAGAATTTAGAGTATTGTTATATAGAAAAAGTCAAAAAGAAACTACTGCTTACATATGAAAAAACTTGGAATGATTTAGTACACAAGAAACCAAAATTAAGAACATATGTCAAATTCAAAACCTCATACAAAACTGAGTCATATTTATTGCTAAATTTATCTAAGTTGGAACGATCTTTAATTGCACAATTACGTATGGGAATTTTACCACTGGAAATTGAAACAGGCAGATTTAGAAATGAAAAATTGGAAAATAGAAAATGTACTTTATGTAAATCTGGCAACATTGAGGATGAGGAACATTTTATTTTTAATTGTACATTTTATAAGGAAATAAGGAAAACATATTTACAAAATCACCAAATTTTTGAAGAAACAGAATCAACTACGGATCGAAAGTTTCAGTATTTATTTGAAAAAATGCCTAGGCAAGCTGCTCATTTTGTTAAACTTTGTTATTTTAAAAGAAGAAATGCCATTTATAATGTAAATTGAATTTAACTGCATGTATGTGTCTAAGAAATTCATGCTAGTATTTTTAAAATTGTTTGTTATGAATCTAATTGTAATTTTTAACATTAGTGGTTGATAAGCCCAAGTGGGCTGGGTTGCTTTTTATTACTTTTCTTTTGTATTGTATTGTATTGCATTGTATTGAACCTACCACTGTAAATAACAATAAAACTAAACTAAACTAAACTATTGACATTGGAATGACATTGAAGGTGGACTCTTAAGTTGGACTTTATTTTCATATATTTCCAATTATATCTCTAATGATTCGTGGTTTCCCTGTGAAGCACTTCAGTTGATTGCTGTCTGACATTTGCTGGATGATATTATTACACAATATGATGATTCATAGCTTTTGTCACATAGTCACGCCTCCAGTACACTCTATATTAGTTCTGTTATTATAATTATTAATTATAACCATTAAGATGGATAAGGCCCTCACAAATAAATGTATGTTTTGGCGCAGAATGTCTGTTCATCGCAAAACCTCCCTGCTCATTAGTACAAGTCAGACTAAACTGACAGTAAGAAACTGAAAAATAGAATGAAGTATTTATAATGAAAAATTAAAACAGTTAAACATTGGAATAAAATGAAAAAAACTTTACTTATAAAGTGGGGAAGAGTCTAGCTATATTTTGAATATGTCATCTTAATGTTTCCGAAGCATTTTTGGGTCCTGCCAGATGAAATATTTCTCTACTTGGGATCTGCCATCTCTTATAAAGAAAAAAGTCCCTAAACTCAATATGCAATGTAATGAAAATAAGGCGTTTGACATACAAAAGCTCTGATTTACTGTGGCCTGATTGCCAATCATTTGCATGGGATATAATACCACGATTATCTTAATATAACATTTATAAAAGTATCATCTGAGAAGAAGGAAAGTCTGATATTAATATCCAAATGGTTGCCATGGCAACTGACTATATGTTCCTGTTACATTCAAGGAGGATTGGCTTCTTCCATTGCTTTGTAATATCTAGCCTAAAGTGATGATCTAAGGAGCTCTGCCTTTTTGGCATAACATTGATATTAACATAAATTCATATTAGTATTCAATCAGTAAAAATCCTGGTTATAAACTCGCCATTGTTTCTTGATTATTTTTTTATTTTAAAATATTGCCCTGGTTGTTGAGACCACAATAAAGTATAGAAACATTGACATGATAAAATGATAACTTAAATTTTGTTTTTTTGACAACACAATAGAATGTTGAGTTCATATAAAAGATTTTGTCATCAGAGTCTTAACTCCACTTTTCTGATTATAGCTCCCATTATAAAAGTACATGGATGACTCATACTTTTCCTTATATTAAACATTGCGAGCTCGTATTGTCTTTTTCCTTTATGTTTCTATGGTTACACTTGAGTTTTTTCATAATATTCTGCACTTATTAGTTCGAGAATCCTAGAAACCATGGTTCCTTCTTTTTTGTGCGATTACACTAGTTATGAGTTTGTATATGAGGGACCAAGTCAGAATATAATTTGTATGAATGTAATTGAATGAAAAGTGAGTTTTTATTTTGCTGAAGATGGGCTTTACAGTTTTCATTCCCATTGACATAGTTATCAGTTAAAAGAATTGTTTTTACATCTATTGTTAATATGCACTGAGTATCAAGTACAATCATATTATTTATGATGCATGTTTCTACATTTATTTACATGGACTGAGTTTTACAATCCTATTATTAACGTTGCAGGGTTTCTACATCTACTTATATGGACTGAGCATCATATTCCTGAGTTACGTCTACATATACCTACTTCAGAATAACACTTGGAAGAGGGGACGCAAGAAAAGTCACTGTGACTCTCTTCTTGGGAAACCAAAATGGAAGAAGGTTGAGATCGATGAAGTCAGTAAAAACACTGGAAGTTTTTATCTCAGACTTGGAGCAGTAGGTTAGTGCTGCCATCTTTATGTTGAAAAAATCCACATTGATTTAGATTTGAAATATTTGACATTATTCTAAATCTGAATTTGGTTGAGCATGAAATGGAAATATTTCGGACACTTCATATATTTCTCCAGAATGATTCTTGATCATATAATTTAACAGAATAAGAAGTAAAATGTTATTCATATTGGGCGAAATCAAGCAACCTCATTCAATTCTTCAGTTGCATTTACAAACACCGTAGCTAAAAATATAAGTGTTTTGGCTAGCATTCACAGCAGTCTGTAGTTAGTGATATGTTATGGTAGTTTGAAAAAGTGAGTTTGTAAAGGTTGGCAAGTACTTTTTTAAAAGGGGATTGTCTCACCAGTCACAATGGTATTTTATTTGAATAGTCTTACCAACTGACTGAGTAAACGGAGAAAATAGATCCCAAGCCATGTGTATGTCTCAATAATGTTCTGTTTATTTGCAGTGTTTGGTATTGCCAGTATGATACACGATGGCCTCTGGTTTGGACAGTTCTTTGAGCATGGCTTCCATTCTGAATGTAATGAACTGATCCTTGGGATACGTCCGATTCTTCATCTTGTATTTACATTCATTCAGCTTTACTTTATATTCCTCAATTCTAAGGTAAGAACTAATTATCGACTAATCATATTTCACCATGAAAACTAAATGACCAATCATATTTCACCATGAAAAGTTAATGACCATTATATTTTACTTTGAGTGTAGTGATTCTTGGGAAATCCCTTCCTCCATCTAACATTAACATTCATCCATCTTAACTATATTTGAATCATTAAGCTCTATAAAATCAGATAATGTTTATGGATTTAGATATGCAGATCAGAATTGAATACCATATTGTCACAAGAACACTAGTCTGTAGTCAGCAATCAAATTTGAATTAGAGCAACTGAAAAAAATACTTAAAATGGTATCAGTTTCTTCATAATATATATAATTCTTCTGTCTCTGTCTCAAACTGACCTCATTGTTATATAACTCCAGATGTGTATACACAGATATAAGCACTTGGCAAGGTTTGGCCTAATGCACATGATCGCCACAAATATATGTGTATGGCTGAGAAATGTTATAAGGGAGACTGTGAGAGATGTACAGATATACCAGAGGTCCAACATAGCTGCTGTTGCCATGACAATAAACCAGACAGAGGCTAGTACAGTGACCTTTGAGAACATAACAGGTAAGAATAGTAACTTTTAAGGTAGGCTTTATAAAGCAAATTCTGCCTAATTAAATGTAGAGTTGGAGATATATGGTGATGAAATCACTAAGTAATATTTGTATTTGTGTAGTTTTTTTTGTTTACAAATGTTTGATATTTGGGAAAATATGTAGGCTAATGGAAATAAAACCTTATTTGTATTTTTCAGAATCGCATCAACACACTGAGTGTGATCATCATGATATATTTGGAGATGTTGTGGACAAGTCCTCTGCCTATCTCTACCCTTGTACCATAGTTTACAGTATTATATGCGCAGGTAAGAAATTGTATCATAGTTTGCCGTATTATATGTGCAGGTTAGCAGTTGAACCATAGTTTACAGTCTTCTATGTGCAGGCATGTAATTGTTCCATTGTTTGCAGTATTTAATGTGCAGGTTTGTTGTACCATAGTCTTCGGTATTTTATGTGCAGGTAGGTACCATAGTTTGCAGTATTATATGGACCAACATTATTGAAACTGTTGTGCAAGCAATTGTAGCACAGTTAACTCTTAAGAAAATTGTGGAAAAATATTTTCAAAATATTTATTTATGTTTGGATCCCTGTACTTCCAGGTATCCTGTATGTTATCTGGCTAAACATTGGCAAGACAATAGCGACATCTAGGGGTGTCCAATCGGAACAGATTGAACGAAAACTAGTGCTCCATGTCGACTGTAATGCCTCACATCGTGGCCTCTTCTGCGGCATCTTCATCCTTCTTGCCACTGTCATCACAATCATAACATTTCTTATCTTCATTAACAAGGCTGAGTACATCAACACTGCAGTTCTCATGGTTCATATTATTGAGATTGTCATCTATATGTTGACGTCTATAGCTGTATTTGCAGCATGTAGTGCTATGAGGCACTTGTATTATGACTACTATAGGTATATAACCCTAGACGAGATTCTATTGCTGGTATCGCAAACAGGGGTATTCCTTGCAGCGATTTTCAGTTTATTAGCTGCCATATATAGCTATGATACTATAGGTGGTGTGTTGATCTTGGCGACATCATGCCTTGTGTTGATACAGAGTGCCGCACAGACAGTTCTTGTATTGAGTGGATTACGACGCTTCACAGGTATCTCAGATACAACACAAAGACCGGGGCGACAGTTTGTGACGTTTTTACTTGTTGCAAATGTGGCGCTGTGTGGACTTTGTATGATGGAGACAGTGAGGAGTAGTGTTAATCCTGTACAACAAGAGTTCTATGGCTACTTGGTGTGGAGCATTATCCTTCATGTATCCATACCTCTACAAATCTTCTATAGATTCCATTCTGCCGTATGTCTTGCTAATATCTGGAAAAATGCCTACAAACCAAAGCAACTTTAAAGGAGTATTCATTTTACAATAAATACAGTATAATGAAAACATGTATAAATCTAATATATGAAGCTTCAAATTCATTAAAATTAACATTTAATATCCCTCTGCCTCTATACACCCCAGATCTTTGTTTTTCTGTATTTTATGATGTACATGTTTTATGCAAACATATACTGAGCCTAGTTCAATTATAACATTACCTTTTTAATTCAATACTTTTAGATCAATACTGTTGTGCAGTACTTATAGAACAATACTATTAGTGAAGGACTTTTAGAACATTATTTTTATTACAGCACTTTCAGTGCATTCTTTTGGAATAGTTCTTTTGTTACAATACATTTAGTATAGTACTTTAAATAGTCTTGTTTGTACACAGTACTTTTAGTGCAATACTTTTGATACAGAACTTCTAGTACCATAATTTAAGTGCAGTACTTTAAGTATAGTACTTAACACTATTTCTATTTTTTAACACTAATCTATATTGGTAAGCTTAAGGTAGACAGTATTTCATGTCATATTTCATCAAACCAAATTTTCATACAATCTAGGGCTATATGGATTTATTTATCTGCTCACTTCTAAAGGGAACATTAAGTTTATATAATGTTGATCTTGTAATTCCCCAGTCTATGTAACAAGTGGCCTCAGTATTATTGATATTTATTGTTCAGTATAAACAGGGCAAATGGACCAAATTTTGAAATTATTTTAGCATATAATTCTGTTATCAGTTTTTTTTATCAGATTTGCATCATAGTATTATGTAAGGTAAGGTCAGTAAATCCTTTATAAAGATCTGCATTAGGATTGATTGCAACAGCATATTTCACCAAATGAGTAATGTTAAATTGGTTCCGTGTCCAGATTTCAATAGAGAAAATCACTGCACGAACATTGAGGGGAACACTTTAAAAAGGGAAGGCAGAAAACGTTTTAGTCTTATTCAGCCACAAATATTATGTAATCAAATAGACACATTCGTTTTCTGACTTTTTGAATCTCAGAGTGGATTTGGGGATATTTAATTGAAAAGAGATTTTGAAAAAAGAAATTTGCCATATAAAGATACATAATATGTAGGAATCTCAAAAATTGTAAATACAATTATAATACCATGTGAACAAATTACAATTTATTTATACAACAATGTACATTATATATACAATAAGTATACAATTATATATAGAATCTGACTTTTAGTACCATGTACTTTATCATGTATTTATTTACACAGTAGATCTTGGTGAATCATGTCATTGAATCGAAGATACCATTTATATTAGAGAAGGGTCGGTCACGGTTCGGTTCGGTTCGGTACGATTCTCGGTTCTTGTCTCTCGGTTCGGTCGGTTCTTAAATCATATACTTAATAAGGTGGGCCTCATAAATTGCAATTGGTGCCACAAATATGGCAACATAAAAAGGTGTTTCACTTTTATTTTGTATTATTAGGGGATATAATTTTATTTTCAATCTTATAGATGATCAATATGGAATGATGATAGCTGATAATCATTGAATATTTATGGAATTAAATAACTAGAATTGAACTATTTGTATGTGGCTATCAACAAGTTGCTTGCCCCGTGTTAGATGCAGGGAGGGATTCCTTTTTAAACTGGGTCTGGTTGGGTAAGACCTTTCAATATGTTTCCTCATGGCAGACAGTGTGTTTCCTGAAAACTAAAATTATATGGATAGCACAGATGTCCTTCAGTTGGGAATAATAGTGCAGTGGGCTAGGGGGTGTTTACCCAAATTCTCAACCTGACTTGGGACCTGAGGTAGGACACATGAAAAAGTGTATATATCAGTCATAAAAAATGTTACTATGAGTGGGTAATAGGAGGCAGTTACAAGATAGGGAATGATTTGAAGTCTAATAAAGATCGCAGTCTTAATTTTTAAAATTAAAAAACTTACAAAAAGTTTCTATCACAAAAATTGGAAACCTGCAGCGTATTTCAATGTCGTGTTGCACAACCGACATAGGGTAGACGTATTCTCATCGTAGAAACCGAATACTTCCAAGCATCCAACTTAGGCATCGCGGGAAAAGGCTCTATTATGGTTTTACTAGCTCTTTGCCGACTTCGAAAACTGTCCGCCATTTTTAAAACACAAGTGTTTCCGCGCGAAATAAATTCACGCTGGCAAGTAGAATTATGTTCCCTCAAGACGTGGAAGAACAATGAAATATCCAAGGAAACGATTTTATTACCGTATGGATCGTTTAAAGTTGTTCAATTGTCGTTTAAATGGTACTTTCATTCGCTATTTAGATGAAATAGAGCTGTAATTATTTGCGCAAAAATTTCGTATTCATGTTACACTGCACGAAAATAAAGTATTTCCCCGGGAATGATGGAACCGTTTTGGACTCGGTTCTTGGTGATCAGACGGTCCCAGTAGAACCGTGAGGCCAAAAACCGCGGTTAATCGAACCGAACCGTAACCGACCCTTCTCTAATTTTATATGTACAAGTATAAAGCTCAGCATTTTTATGGGGCTATGTTTATGGCCCAGTTTATATGGACAAATGTATTTATATGGGGTTTTGTTTATATGGAGTAGCTGTGTTCATATTGGGCTCTGTTTGCATGTAGTACCAGTTCAGTTTGTGAGTCTTATATCTCTATATTTATATGGAACTCAGTATCACTGTCTTGTTTATTTAAATTTATTATGCTCATTGCATTTACCATTTGAAAGCATAAAATATCCAATCAAAAAATGCTGTTCATTTTGCAAATTCTAGGCTTTCACCATTATGATCCTCACTCTATAGTGGATGATGTCTGGAGCACTATGATCAGAGGATAAGTGCATTGTATTGTGAAATAAGTACAGTAAAACCTGTCTAATTCAATTGCATCATGGGACTAACCAAAAGTGTTCAGATTAGTAGATGTTCACAATTCATGGCCAATAACTAGAGAGAAATAAATTTGTGATCCAAGCGTTCACATTGAGAGGTGTTCGAATATCCAGGTTTCGCTAGATCACTCAACCAGTCACAGGAACCCCCATCATGATATTTGACGTCTCAATGTTGTTAAAAAATGGACACCTGTATTTTTTTGAAAATGTAAATGATCATTGGAAGTGTAGAAGTGGAATTCCTTGTTTCATAAGAGTAACTTGAATGAATAGTGTACCTTGATTAGAAGCCTTGCCCAAGTCGGTATTCTTTTACTTATCTGATCTTGAATTGTCTATAGAAATCAAGATATAAGTAAAAAAGAGTAGAAGTTCTTGCAATAAGAGTAAGGTAACATGGTAAACTCATTATTGACAAATATTTGAATTAATGATATTGTTCAGATTTGGCTATCACCACTATTTATGTTAGGATATAAGTAAATAAAAATGTGAGTTGCAAAGAAGATAATATGATATTTTGTATGGTATGAAAAGATGGTGTCAGATGTATGGATTCAATGTAGGTTTATTATATTATAGAATAAATATAAACGTTGATGAATTGTAATTTTGTTTTGTATGTAGTCAAAGGAATACAAACTGAAATTGAATTAAAACACAATAATCAAATATATTGTATAGTTTTATATTTCAAAAGTATCAATTAGTTAAATAGTTATTAATCAAATAATCATTCACAGGAATGTGTGTTACAAGGTACAGTTTCCGCTTTCGTTTCGCTCGTTCCTTTTCCAGATCCTAACGAACAACCATTCGGTCTGTCAGCTAACATTCTGTTACAAACACTCACTCGTCTTTTCTCCCCACCGCCACACGACCTGCTACAGTCTGTGTATGGACTGAACTCACTCCAATAGTTATCTGATGTCACAGTTTCCTCTATCCAGTCTATGTAGTTAGCAACGTCGGTGTAGATGCCATCATTTACGCCACAAAGAAATCTTGTGTTTAGACTAACACCCTTACTGACGACTCCGAATTGGGTCCAAGTTTGTGTCTTATCATTGCGGCAAACTAAAGGACCACCCGAATCACCCCCGCAAGTATCTTTCCCATCCCCGTAAGCACAAAGCATTCCGACCGTTATCTTAGTTGCCATTCTGATCTCCTTCAGACATTTCTTTCTTATGACCAGATTTGTAGTCTTGAGGACATCTGGCATTGACGACGAAGACGCGAAAAGGCTCCCATCAGTGCGACCCCATCCCGTTACTGCACAAAGTTGAAAGTCATATTTACGTTTAATTGTTTTTGGTAAAGCAATCGGCTGGGTATATTTATTAAATTGAATCGGAGGGTCAAGCCTTATAATTGCAATATCGTTGACCAAATCGCTTCTTCGGCCAGAAGGGAAGTTGGGGTGTGGAATCCCAGATTCATTAACGTTTATTTCCCATACTTGTTCCAATGGTTCAGTTTCCGATATGTTGTGTTTCCCTGTTTTTACGGTAATATTAGTTTGTCCAATAAAACAATGCGCTGCAGTAAGAATATGTCTGAAAGTAAACATGACAATTTTGGAAAAGAAAAGGACCCAATAAATAATTTGTCTTACGTCCAAAATATATCTTTAATGAATAAAAAATAAATCCATAAACGTCGTCTAAAATAGATGAAACCAATCAAGAAGTGCAAAAGGCGGCATTAGGTTACTCTGGTTTTGCTTTTACCTTGGACTTATGATAGATCCTCCACAAAAATGATCCTTTTCATTTGAGAGCTGAACCATCCATCGATAGTTGAACTTTGGAGATACGCTTTTACCACCTAATAACCAAAAATCATATATTATTTGTCAAATTCTTTCAAATATTTTAGTAACACTATACGATTTTATTCTGCAGTTCACCCCCGATTTATATAAACAAAATAATGGATTTTCAACATGGTCCTAAAAGTTGGCCTAAGAGGGTCTCATTTTCAAATTGACTTATTTGTAGAATCATATAGATATTGTCATGAAAAAACAGATTCATACCTTATCTTATATAGTAGAAAACCTCGTATCTACGATTGTATGTGATTGTTCAACGCCCTCACCTATTATTATACCCCTGCTTTCAGTGATTCGTTTCCCCGTTTGTACCACTTCCTCATCATCACACGGCGCAGTGTCAACAGAGTAGTCCAAACACGGCACAGTTCCATTTTCACCTTGTGCGATACAAAGTTGGATTCTTGATTTTTGCTCACCGTTATTAGCGAGCTCTGGGCAACTTGAGAAATTCGTGTAGCTTCCTAAGAAGATAATTCATCGTCGTTTAAAGAAATTCCATATCCTTGAGATGGCACACAGTGCTAGTTATGCCAAATATTACATTTAATCTTTTAGATTTCTGAATTAATATTAACTTCGAAGTTAATATTACATAATCAAAAAACAAAAGTATACCAAATTGGACACGATTTTTTGAAAAGTTGCTCCCCATCTATGGTTCTTCTATATTGATTTTAAAACGATCTATTGAATAATCCATCTATGATTGACAAAATAATGCATAAGACATTGACCGTATTGTCAATAAAATGAAATAAATATCGAGGAAATCAAATAGCCTATGGTACAAGGCCCTGTGACCCCCTCTACTTGACTACACAACCTCTCAAGCATTGTAGCTAGACTATATATTACATTAGAAATACATGAACACAAAGTTGGCCTCGGAGGCAAGGTTTTCAAAAAATGCCGGGAACGGAAAGAAAATGTCTCAATAAGTTTTTTCTTCTTTTTCATATCCAGGTCATCCAATTGGTATTATTTATATGTGTACCTTTTATACCATAGTCGCATGGTCCTTTACAAGATACAACATTCGTTGACACGCATGTACAATTCTTTTTACGAGGACATTTCTCATCACCACTCCAGAATGTTTCGCCAATTGCTATTCTGGATTTCTCTGCATTGCTGTGCAGGTTAACCAAGCATCCACCCTTGCACTTTTTGAGATCTGTGCAGGTAACTTCTCCCTTCTCACTACATTTGCATTTATTACAGCCATCAGGATGAATCCATTTCTTACCAGGGGTGCGAGATATACCTTCAGAATAATCGTGCAATTAAGCAATTGTTTAGATAATTGTCCATTACAGGCCTCTAGCCAGGGATAGCTGGCCAGAGATTCTTTCAAAATCATACAGTTTTCACCATTCTGAGCACTTTTTCGCATGATGTTTGAGCCAAAACTGTCACAAAGCCCCCCCCCCCCCCTGGTAAAAGCTGGTTACGGACAAGTATTTATGAGTCTAAAATGATTAACATACTTTTCTAGTGTAGCAACTCAGAGCTGTAATGATTTACGAATTAAATGTTTTATGATAAATACCTTCCTGGTCAAGACATTCGGCCTTCTTGCAACACATGCTGTACGTGTTAACATCAGGACTATAACAATCGTAGCCCTCTGGACATGGCTCTGTATGTAGACCCCGAGATAGACCCCTACAGGCCCTGGGGAAACCATATTCCAGTATAGTTTCGCAGTCCCTTAACCTCTAAAATAAGTAGAAACTATTCCTTATTTAACTCATTCTGATCCAGCATTTCACTGGGGTTGTACTCGTGATGGATATTCTCGATAAAATTGGTTTCGAAGTTCCCTCGGCAGCAATCCATGGCCAGGAGAGTTTTTACATATATTCAACAAACTGCCAATTTGGATATTCCTCGTTTGGGGTTTTAGCTTCATTATTAAAGTTTGGCGAGAGAGCAAGAATAACAACTATTTATAAATAAAAACGAATTTTATATCAAAATTAAATAAAGACATTTACCTTTATCTGGCAGCACTGTTTACTCTTACAAAGAAATGTGTTTGGACATCGGGGACCTCTAGCCTTATTGCAGCTCGGGACGGTAGGATGTCTCAACCAACCATTCTTACATCTTGCTATCTTTGCAGTAGGCACTATCGTAATCGGAGTTGTTTCGGAGTTGGTCAATGTCGCTGCTGCATGCAACAAAACTAATGCGATTAGGCCTAGATAGTTCATAACTGTTAGCCAATGTGTTGCTCTTTGCGAATCAATAGAATCAACCATCATGTTGTATTACAGTTTGTTTTTTCTGATGGTTTTATCATGATTTGATTCCATAAATCAAACAGATAAAATAACAATACCTCTATTGAACAAGCTATTACAATAAAAATTACAAGCGCAGTTAGTGGTAATCTTTCTGACAATGCCTTGTTCAAACAAAACACACAATCTGATGTGTATAGTCTGTATAGTCAATTTGCCACCTTGACAACCATTCAACAAATGATCTGGGTACTAGTAAAGTAGTTTATTGGTTATATAATACAGTGAGTGCAGTTATATGAAATACTTTGTTCAGATTGGCTGGAATCGGACAAACCTTGCGAATTCAACTACCGGCTGTCGGCATACGATTTTGTTACTTTTTACGGGGAAAGTTGTTTAGATATGAATAGTAGCAGGTATTATGACTTTGCCATAAATAGCTAATTAATCCGTCAGCTGTCAGCCGGCGATTGTTTTCGCCAATGCTAGCTAACTAAGTGATTCACATTATTTATGGTATGGTAGCTCAGATAATAGCGCATCTAGCCATGGCCACTTTCTTTATATTATGCTCCTGGTGGTACTCTTGGTGCTACGCCTAGTAAGGTTATATGTCAAGACGGGGTTCTAATAATTTGTACCGCGGAAATTTTTTCGGAGACAAATCTCGAGTGAAAATTAAAGTTCGCTGATTTATTTGAATTTTGGAAAATTGAGATTTCAATTTTATTGATCTTCTCTCCCAATTTGATTCAAGCTAAGGTCATGTAGTAGATGCATCAAAACATAAAATTAAAATTATCGACCATAACATTCCCTTCTTAATTATACTTGTACAATGAGCCCTCTTCAAATCAATTAAAATCAGTGAAAATCAGCAAACCAGATTAAAGTTGACACGTTTGCTTTTCAATGACTTGAATAGATGGCTCATAAAGATAAACATGTATAAAGGTAAGTCATATGTATTTGAAGTAAAAACCGATGAAGAAAATATTGATTTTTCTAAATTTGATGACGCAAAATCCCCTATTATCGCCCACGATATGGTTTTTCAGTAACTTCGTTTTTACACTTAGAAGAGTTCTGGCATATCTTATATCATTTTAGATGTGGTATTTGAAATTATTACAGACACATTTGTTGCATTTGCCTATATTTTTCCATATTGAAGGACATTTATTTCCACATATTTTTGCTGACTTATACAGGCCTGTCAACTTGGGAACACCTAACATGAGTGACTTGGAAATGTTGAACACCTCCCCTCAAAATTTGGACACCTTGGTCCAAATCTGGACACCTTGATCCAATTTTTGAACACCTTGGTTTAAATTACATGTTGCCAAATTTTGAACACCTCAAATTTTTCGCGCTCGCTACGCTCGCGTTTCAAACATCCGTCAACGGGGGGGGGGGGGGGGGGGGGGGGGGGGGGGGGGGGGTAGGTACGATCGACCCAGCTAACAATTTTACGTTGTGATAACGTCGTCAGAATATATGTCTCAAGTTGTAGCAACGTTAAATATGGAACGTTGTAGGTACAGGAAGGTGTGGACTCGCACAGATGTTTAAAGAACGTTACATTTGACTTAAATATCACGTGTCAGGAACGTAGTAGCGACCTTAACAATTACGTCGCCAAAATAACGAAACTGTAACGTTCTTACATTACGTCATATATACGTGGCCAATCTAAATTTCTGGTAACGTTGATATGGAACGTTGTAGGTACAGGAAGGTGTGGACTCGCACAGATGTTTAAAGAACGTTACATTTGACTTAAATATCACGTGTCAGGAACGTAGTAGCGACCTTAACAATTACGTCGCCAAAATAACGAAACTGTAACGTTCTTACATTACGTCATATATACGTGGCCAATCTAAATTTCTGGTAACGTTGATATGGAACGTTGTAGGTACAGGGAGGTGTGGACTCGCATAGATGTTTAAAGAACGTTACATTTGACTTAAATATCACGTGTCAGGAACGTAGTAGCGACCTTAACAATTAGGTCACCAAAATAACGAAAATGTAACGTACTTACATTACGTCATAAATACGTGGCCAATCTAAATTTCTGGTAACGTTGATATGGAACGTTGTAGGTACAGGAAGGTGTGGACTCACACAGATGTTTAAAGAACGTTACATTTGACTTACATATCACGTGTCAGGAACGTAGTAGCGACCTTAACAATAACGTTGCCAAAATAACGAAACTGTAACGTACTTACATTACGTCATATACGTGGCCAATCTAAATTTCTGGTAACGTTGATATGGAACGTTGTAGGTACAGGAAGGTGTGGACTCGCATAGATGTTTAAAGAACGTTACATTTGACTTAAATATCACATGTCAGGAACGTAGTAGCGACCTTAACAATTACGTCACCAAAATAACGAAAATGTAACGTACTTACATTACGTCATAAATACGTGGCCAATCTAAATTTCTGGTAACGTTGATATGGAACGTTGTAGGTACAGGAAGGTGTGGACTCGCACAGATGTTTAAAGAACGTTACATTTGACTTAAATATCACGTGCCAGGAACGTAGAACCAACCTAAACGATGACTTCGCCAAAATAACGAAAATGTAACGTACTTACATTACGTCATAAATACGTGGCCAATCTAAATTTCTGGTAACGTTGATATGGAACGTTGTAGGTACAGGAAGGTGTGGACTCGCGGAGATGTTTAAAGAACGTTACATTTGACTTAAATATCACGTGTCAGGAACGTAGTAGCGACCTTAACAATTACGTCGCCAAAATAACGAAACTGTAACGTACTTACATTACGTCATATATACGTGGCCAATCTAAATTTCTGGTAACGTTGATATGGAACGTTGTAGGTACAGGAAGGTGTGGACTCGCATAGATGTTTAAAGAACGTTACATTTGACTTAAATATCACGTGTCAGGAACGTAGTAGAAACCTTAACAATTACGTCACCAAAATAACGAAAATGTAACGTACTCACATTACGTCATATATACGTGGCCAATCTAAATTTCTGGTAACGTTGATATGGAACGTTGTAGGTACAGGAAGGTGTGGACTCGCACAGATGTTTAAAGAACGTTACATTTGACTTAAATATCACGTGCCAGGAACGTGGAACCAACCTAGACGATGACTTCGCCAAAATAACGAAAATGTAACGTACTTACATTACGTCATAAATACGTGGCCAATCTAAATTTCTGATACGTTAATTATGGAACGTTGTAGGTACAGGAAGTTGTGGACTCGCACAGATGTTCAAAGAACGTTACATTTGACTTAAATATCACGTGCCAGGAACGTAGAACCAACCTAAACGATAACTTCGCAAAAATAACGAGACTGTAATGTGCTTATGCAACGTCACATATACGTGGCCAGTTTTAAGTTCTGGTACGTTAATAATGGAACGTTGTAGGTACAGGAAGGTGTGGACTCGCACAGATGTTTAAAGAACGTTACATTTGACTTAAATATTACGTGCCAGGAATGTAGAACCAACCTTAACAATGACTTCGCAAAAATAGTGAAACTGTAATGTGCTTATGCAACGTAACATATACCTGGCCAGTTTAAAGTTCTGGTAACGTTTGTCTTGGACCGATGTAGGCACAGGAAGGTCTGGACTCGCACAGATGTTTATACAACGTTACATTTTACTTAAATATCATGTGCTAGGAATGTAGTAGCAACCTTAACAATGACTGCAAAAATAAAATAACAGACTGTAACCTGCTAATGCAACGTCACATATACGTGGCCAAGTTAAAGTTCTGGTAACATTAACTATAGAACGTTGTAAGCAAAGGAAAGTGTGGACACGCATAAATGAGTATACAAGTTACGTTCGACTTAGATATCACGAGCCAGGAATGTAGTACCAACCTTAACAACGACTTTGCCAAAATAAAGAGACTGTAACGTGCTTGTTACAAACATGTCAAATTCATAACTTCTGGTTACATCAAGTTAGGACAACACATGCAAGGAATGTTCTAGTAACCTTAATTATGCCATCAACAAGATATAGTGATAGTAATGACTAACGTCCAGTTAAATGAATCATTACATGAGCATAATTTAAAGTTCCTGTACAGGAAGATGTAGACACCGATGTTCAGTAAAAAAAATTATATATAACACACTAAGCCTAACATTTTCACATGTGAAGGTAAAACACAACTAACTTATGCTTTGACTTATTAACAAATGTATATTGTTTTTCCAATAATTAATGAGTTAATACACAAGAACTTTTTTGAGCATCCAAATAGAGAATATTGACACACAGAATTGAACTTAAATATAATTACAGTCTCGTATGTCATCTATCAAAAATCTATCCTATCGTTAATAAGTTTTATTGAGTATTTTATTAACCCCTAAACGGTTAGGGGGCAGGGGAGATTTGCCGTTCTGGCTTGTCTTAAAATTGAATTAGGCATATTTTAACTAATAAATCGTGACTATATTGTATTTACTGAGGGATATACACTGTATCAAAAATCGAGCATTTAATAACTGATTTATCCTATACTTAGTAGATTATGAGAATTAAATATGCATTGAAATTTCCCATTTTTCCCCAAATTTTTTTTCACATTTAAAAAAAAAAGATTTTCACATTTATGAGTTTGATAATCTCAGAAACTTAAAAACCACTTTAAAACACCAAGAAAATGTGTATCTTAAGTATATTTTTGAATTTTGGAACTTTATAAGGTATATGACGTACCAAGAACATCAGTAGGTATGAAATACATCTGTTATGTACGGTCGGTTTTGGATACAGGGTTTATCCCTCGGGAAATATGTGTATATCCCTTGGTCCCTGCGGTCCGTCGGGATATACACATATTTCCCTTGGGATAAAACCTGTATCCAAAACCTCCCAGTACAAAACCCTTGTATATCTCCCGCTCAACTCAGATATCAATTATATTCCCGCATGTTATTTACCTATAACACTACTAAGTATGGGATTAACTTTGATGATATTTCGA